CAGCCCTGGCAGATGGCCATCAACCATAATAATAATAACAACTATTATTATTATTATTATTATTATTATTATTATTATTATTATTATTATTATTGAGTAGGAAGAGACCAAATGGGCCATCCAGTCCAACCCCTTCTGCCCTTCATGCCGGAAAAGCACAATCAAAGCACCCCTGGCAGATGGCCATCATCAACAACAACAATAATAACAATAATAATTATTCTAGAGTTGGAAGAGAGCACATGGGTCATTAAGTCCAACCCCTTCTGCCCACATGTAGGAATAGTACAATCAAAGCACCCCTGGCAGATGGCCATCATCATCAACAACAACAACAACAACAATTATTATTATTCTAGAGTTGGAAGAGACCACATGGGCCATCCAGTCCAGCCCCTTCTGCCTTCATGTAGGAAAACCATAATCAAAGCACCCCTGGCAGATGGCCATCAACCATAATAATAATAATAACAACAACAACAATTATTATTATTATTATTATTATTATTATTATTATTATTATTATTATTATCATCATCATGGAGTTAGAGACCACATGGGCCATTAAGTCCAGCCCCTTCTGCCTTCATGTAGGAAAAGCATAATCAAAGCATCCCTGGCAGATGGCCATCAACCATACTAACAACAACAACTATTATTATTATTCTAGAGTTGGAAGAGACCACATGGGATATCCAGTTCAACTCCTCCTGCCTTCATGCAGGAAAAGCACAATCAAAGCACCCCTGGCAGATGGCCATCAACCTTGGAAGAGACGACATGGGCCATCCAGTCCAACCCCTTCTGCCTTCATGCAGGAAAAGCACAATCAAAGCACCCCTGGCAGATGGCCACCAACCATAATAATAATAATAATAAGAAGAAGAAGAAGAAGAAGAACAACTATTATTATTATTATTATTATTATTATTATTATTATTATTATTATTATTATTATTCTAGAGTTGGAAGAGACCACATGGGCCATTAAGTCCAACCCCTTTTGCCTTCATGTAGGAAAAGCACAATCAAAGCACCCCTGGCAGATGGCCATCAACCATAATAATAATAACAACAACAACAACAACAACAACTATTATTATTATTATTATTATTATTATTATTATTATTATTATTATTATTATTGTAGAGTTGGACGAGACCACATGGACAATCCAGTCCAACCCCTTCTGCCTTCATGCCGGAAAAGCACAATTAAAGCACCTCTGGTAGATGGCCATCAATCATAATGACAACAACAACAATTATAGAGTTGGAAGAGACCGCATGGGCCATCCAGTCCAACCCCTTCTGCCTTCATGCAGGAAAAGCACAATCAAAGCACCCCTGGCAGATGGCCATCAACCATAACAACAACAACAACTATTATTATTATTATTATTATTATTATTATTATTATTGAGTAGGAAGAGACCACATGGGCCATCCAGTCCAACCCCTTCTGCCTTCATGTAGGAAAAGCACAATCAAAGCACCCCTGGCAGATGGCCATCAACAATAATAATAATAACAATAATAATAATTATTCTAGAGTTGGAAGAGACCACATGGGCCATCCAGTCCAACCCCTTCTGCCTTCATGCAGGAAAAGCACAATCAAAGCACCTCTGGCAGATGGCCATCAACCATAATAATAATAATAATAACAATAACAATAAATATTATTCTAGAGTTGGGAGAGACCACATGGGCCATCCAGTCCAACCCCTTCTGCCTTCATGTAGGAAAAGCACAATCAAAGCACCCCTGGCAGATGGCCACCAACTGTAATAATAATAATAATAATAATAATAATAATAATAATAATAATAACAACAACAAAACAACAACAACAATTATTATGGTTGATGGCCATCAATCATAATAATAATAATAACAATAATAACAAGAACAACAATTATTATTATTCTAGAGTTGGAAGAGACCACATGGGCCATCCAGTCCAACCCCTTCTGCCTCCATGCAGGAAAAGCACAATCAAAGCACCCCTGGCAGATGGCCATCAACCTTAATAATAATAATAACAACAACAACAATTATTATTATTATTCTAGAGTTGGAAGAGACCACATGGGCCATCCAGTCCAACCCCTTCTGACCTTCATGCTGGAAAAGCGCAATCAAAGCACCCCTGGCAGATGGGCATCAATCATAATAATAATAATAATAATAATAATAATAATAATAATAATAATAACAATTATTATTATTATTCTAGAGATGGAAGAGACCACATGGGCCATCCAGTCCAACCCCTTCTTCCTTCATGTAGGAAAAGCACAATCAAAGTACCCTTGGCAGATGGCCATCAACAACAATAATAATAATAACAATAACAATAATAATTATTCTATAATTGGAAGAGACCACATGGGCCATTAAGTCCAACCCCTTCTGCCTTCATGGAGGAAAAGCACAATCAAAGCACCCCTGGCAGATGGCCGTCAACCATAATAATAATAATAACAACAATAATAACAATAACAATAATTATTATTCTAGAGTTGGAAGAGACCACATGGGCCATCCAGTCCAACCCCTTTCTGCCTTCATGTAGGAAAAGCACAATCAACAGATGGCCATCAACCATAATAGTACTAATAGTAATAATAACAACAACAACAACAATAATAACAATTATTATAGAGTTGGAAAAGACTGCAAGGACCATCCAGTCCACCCCCTTCTGCAATGCAAGAAGAGCACAATCAAAACACCCCCGATAGATGGCCATCAACAACAACGATAGTAATAATAAACTTTATTTATGCCCCACCACCATCTCCCTGAAGGGACTCAGGGCAGCTAACATGAGGCCGAGGCCAAGTAATTGCAATAAGGCGAAATAAAATGCATATGAAACAGACAAAACATCAAATAAAAATGCTTAACAATAACATAGCAATGCAATAAAATAGTGACAATAACATAATAAAATGATAGAAGAATTAAATAGGGGCGAGCTGGGCCAAATGCGAAGGATAAAAATGGTAAAATAATAATAATAATAATAATAATAATAATAATAATAATAATAATAATAAGGTTGAAAGAGACTGCAAAAGCCATCCAGTTCAACCCCCTTCTGCCATGCAGGAAAAGCACAATCAGAGCCCCCCAGAAAGGTGGCCATCCAGCCTCTGTTTAAAAGCCTCCAAGGGAAAAGCCTCCAACATAGAGTTCCACTGTTTTTTAAATAAAATTTTATTTGATTGTGTAAATCCAACAGCCTGTGTTGGATGGGGCCGCACTCCCCCTGAAGACGCAGGTTCGCAGCTTGGGTGTGACCCTGGACTC